AAAAAAAAACATTTTGGAGACGTGTATTTTAGAGAAGGAGCTTTGGTGGTGTAAACTTTAAAGCATTTGGCTGCTAATCAAAAGGTTGGTGGTTTGAACCCACTAGCCTCTCCGCAGGAGAAAGATAAGGCAGTCTGCTGGCAATTCTACTCTGTCCTATAGGGTCATTATGAGTTGGAATTGACTTGATGGCAGCGGGCTTGGGTTTTTTGCTTATATTATAGAGACAGAGTCCCAGAGTGATGCAAACAGTTAACATGCTTGGCTGCTAACCCAAAAGGTTGGAGTTTCGAGTCTACCCAGAGGAATCTAAGAATAAAGCCCTGGGAACAAACTTCTGAAAAATCAGCCATTGAAAATTCTGTGGAGCACAATTCTACTGTGACCCCCATAGGCTTGCCATGAGTCAGAATCTACTCCACAGCAAGTGATTTTTCTTATATTACAGTGATAACCTTGAATTTGCTCTGGTGTGTAAAAACAAACAAACAACAACATCAGCAACAACAAAAACAACAACAACAAAAAACCCTCAGAACCATTCACAAATGTTGGTTAATATTATTGTTTGGAAAACACTCCACAATTGAGGCAAACACACCAGAGGGCCAGGCCACTGCTTTAAGATCTTGTTGTTTCTACACATGGCTCAGGAAGCTCTGATGGGCCTCAGGTCCTGACGTATAATGCTCTCCAAACAGCCCATGGTGGGCCCTGCACTGTCTATGGTCCCACAAGCAAGAGCATACATCCCCAGATAAGTAGATGCCTCCACTCTTCCTCCAGCACTGCCAACAGACTTCACCTCTGAACCAGTCCAAGGGCAAAAAACTAGACAGGGTGTCAGTGTGAGGCATGCTAAAGTCTTGTGATTTGAGGGTGTTGGGGATTTGTGGAGCAATCTACAAATGAGATCAAATGGACTCCAATTGTTCACAGCCTGGTACTGTAAGCAAGAGTGAACCTGTGATATTTTTGTCACCCTGAGATGGGTACATTTAAGAAAATTTAAAGTAACTTACAATCAGCCAGCACCTAGGGCTAAAAAGGCAGCCATGTATCTACATGAGGAGCAGAGTCTGCTCTTCCTCTGGGTGCTTTTCATTACTTAATTAATTAACCGGGCAGAAACACACTTTGGGAGCTCTGGTGGCATAGTGCCTAAGGCATTTGACTGCTATCCAGAAGGCTTGGGGTTCAAACCCACCAGTCACTCCTCAGAAGGAAGACTGGCCAATCTACTTCCACAGAGATACTGCCTTGGAGACCCAAGGAGGGGTCGCTATGAGTCGAATCGACTTGATGGCAATGAGTTTGGTTTTTTGGTTTTGAACGATTATTAGTATGAAAAGACCATGCATCTTATATGGATCTCCAAAACCCAGCAACAGTATGGAAAGCACTCTGATTATTTAGCTAAAGACCCAGCATATCGAACTAATTCCAATAGGAAAAAGCTTACTATGGTTGCTGGAAATAACTACAAGCATCCACATGAAAAGCAGAATCAAACTGGCCACTGTGTAATAATGTGTGAAACACAGATTTCTTTTTCCTTTACCTGAAAAGCTATCCTTGTCTAAAGCCATGAGGTTTCTGGCTTGATAGATGTAGCAGCGCAGATGGTAAAGGTAGACTCCTGCAAAGAACAGGATGGAGATTACTTACAAGGAACCTAACACAGTAAACCACTATTTTTCTAGACTATTTGGAGATTATATATTTTACAGAAATGAGTCATCCAAATCTAGTTCATCACAGTAAAAAGCACATATAGTGGTGGTGATGTCCTGTTTTCTGTAAAATAAAACTTAATAATAACAGAAATAATAATAGTATAGCTCACTGCTGTTGAGTCGATTTTGACTCATAGCGACCCCTCCTTGGGTTTCCGATGCTGTATCACTAAGGAAGTAGATTGTCTAACCATCCTTCTGAGGAGTGGCTGGTGGGTTTGAACCGCCAACCTTCTGGTTATCGGTCAAATACCTTAGACACTACGCCACCAGAGCTCCTAACAATAGTATGTTGTTGTTATGTGCCGTCGAGTCAGCCCTGACTTATAGCGACCCCTCCTTGGGTTTCCGAGGCAGTATCACTACGGAAGTAGGATTGCCCAACCTTCCTTCCGAGGAGTGGCTGGTGGGTTTGAACCGCCAGCCGTCTGGTTAGCAGGCAAGTGCCTTAGCCACTATGCTACCAGAGTAAGCACAATAAAAGGAGCTCTGGTGGCATAGTGCTTAAGGTATTTGACTGCTAACCAGAAGGATGGTGGTTCAAACCCACCAGCCACTTCTCGGAAGGAAGGTTGGGCAATCTACTTCCGTGGAGACACTGCCTCGGAAACCCAAGGAGGGGTCGCTATGAGTCGCATCTGACTAAAACTGAAAATTACTCCTGTTATAAATTACCTGATTTGGGGCCATTGCTTGTCATCATAGACTTAAAATGAAATGGAGTTACCGGTAGTTACAGGAACAGCGCATACTATACTTTCTATAAGGAGCCCTGGTGGTGCAGTGGTTAAAAGCAGTCAGCTGCTAACTGAAAGGTTGGCAGTTCAAAGCCCTCAGCCACTCTGTGGGACAAAGATGTGACAGTTGGCTTGGCTTCGGTAAAGATTACAGTCTTAGAAACCCTATGGAGCAGCTCTACCTTGTCGTTATGGGTCAGAATTGACTCGAGGCGATGGGTTTGGTATACTTTCTATACTATTTCAGCACCAAATCTGTGACACAGTTTCTTTGACATTTTAAAGTTTTATACTCCTTATCTTTATTATAACTGTATCTTAACATACACACACATAATTTGAGGGATAGCTGAGCACAGTAAGTGCACAGTCTGAGAACCCGATTACTAGAGTTCAAATCTTGTCTCTAGTGCTTATGAGATAGGAGGCCTTGGGCAAGGTAATCTTTCTGCTCCTTGGTTTCCTCATCTGTAAAATGGGGACAATAATACCACCTACTTTACAGGGTTGTTGTGAGGGTTAAACATATTAATACATATACAGTGCCTGGCACATGCTTTATACAGGTATTTGCTATTATTATTCAGAGGTTTGCCTCACTGCCAAATTCCTAAGGGTTATCATTGAATCTTGGGTTTCCGAGGCAGCATCTCTATGGAAGTAGATTGCCCAATCTTCCTTCTGAGGAGTGGCTGGTAGGTTTGAACCACCAGCCTTCTGGTTAGCAGTCAAATGCCTTAGACACTACGACACCAGAGCTCCCATTTTTATCATTGAATCTAACATTTATTTAACTTTTCAAGCCTGTTATTTTTCTGATTAAAATAATATTTTTTTAACAGAATAGGTGCATATGGGACAGACTATTTTAGAATCAGCGATTTGACTACCCTCCGTACCAAATATGATTTTGAAAACTTTAAAAGCTGTATTTAAAAAAATCCTTTTCATCAATAATTAAAACAAAAATCACATTCACATAAAAAGATTTTTATTATATCTGGTAATCCAAGGAAAGGAAGGTTGGGCAATCTACTTCTGTACTGATACCACCTTGGAAACCCAAAGAGGAGTCAGTATGAGTTGGATCCAACTCTATGGCAGTGAGCTTGGAGCTTGGTAATTCAAGAGTTTTCTTGAAATAAGTTATAGAAATGAAATTCACAAATAACTGTTTAAAACTCACTGTCAAAATTACAGGAAACAATGGGAGTGTTTGCTCCAAACACAGTGGTGGCGCTGTGCTTCTGTTTCTCCATGCTCTTTTCCTCTCCATCCACAGTAGTGTCAGTGCCCTAAAGAGAGAGAGAAAGTCAATCACCGGAACTAAGAACAAACAGACAAAGGGGCAAGAATCAGAAACAAATGGAACGGTGGCTTTTAAGACATTTTTAATCCAATCACCCCATTTTAAAGGATGAGTAAAGTCCAAAACAGCAGTGACTTCCCAAAGGTCACATCGCTGGAAGGTGACAGAGGAGGAAGTCAAAGCTAGCTCTTTTGGCTCAAGTTCAAGTTTACCAAACCCTGCTGCTAAAAAAAAAAGAAAAAGGTAAAGGGTAAATAGGATGATAAAAAGGATGGGGAAGAGGAAGAGAAAGAGCAGTGGGAAAAGAACACAGTGGGGTCAGTGAGCAAAAATACAAAAATAGGTTGAAAATGCTCCTGACCACCTACTGTTTCAGATCTCCCACCTCTATTTTCTTGTCTGTTTTCTCCTCCTTCCTGCTTCCTTCTCCTTGTCTTCTTTTATCATGTGTCCATATGAATTGTCCTCTAATTTTGTGAACCATCCTTCTATTTTCCTCCCCCTCATATCTGTGTGTGTAACTTTCTTGATTTGTTGAACAGCTGCAATTTCCAAGGAATGATCCAAGGAACTCATGCCAGGGCTGTTAACAGATCTTACCTGAAGCAAGAGTTCTGGAATAGATACATTTGGGAATTGTTGCATGAAACCATGATGAAGTGGTGTTTCTGCAATAGAGCTTGGATTTTTTTTCACATGGTAATGGTTTATGAATCCGACAAGAATTACTGAGCACCTAAAATGTGTTTCCCAACTCATTTGAGTTGTGCAGTACTGAGGTTATAGGGAACTCTGTGGCATGGATAGTGTTAAATCTCATATATTTTTTCCCATATCAATATTATTTGAGTTTTGAATGCTTATTACTTACAAGGGCACCTTCAAGTTTAAAGATGGCAGCTGCCCCATGTGTTTCTGAAGGTGCCATTTTTCTCCTCCAGCGTCTGCGGCGAAAGGTATCTGAATTACGTTGCTTCCAGTGAAATTTCCAGCCAATTAAAGAAGCATATTCCCAGCCCTCCCGGTCTTCAAATTCACTCACAGCCTGAAACAGAAAGAGTGAAACTTTCAATGAGAATAATAATATTCCTTCCATTGATAAAGCTGGTCATTTGGTCAATGAACAAACATATATTGAAAATCTAGTCTGTGCCTGGCAAAGTGCTAGGAGCCAGGGATACAACAAAGAACAAGACAGGCAGGACTCTGCTCCTGCAGAACGGATGGACTATGGAGAAAACAGAGAGAGAGTTAGGCAATGGCAGTGCAATGAGATGTGTGCCCTGGTGGTGATGTGGTCAGGACAGGCACCTAATTCAGACTTGCAGGTGGGATGAGGCAGGTGGATTCTTTCTTAAATTGCTTGTTAACTCAAAAGAACACTGCTATTGAGATATAGTCTGAAAAACATCATTTCATACATGGAGCGAAAAGTATCCTTCCACCATAGGTTTTCTTAAAAATTGCATTTGACTGCTAACCAGAAGGCTGGCGGTTTAAACTCACCAGCCACTCCTAAGAAGGAAGACGAGGTCATCTACTTCTGTAGACATACTGCCTCAGAAACCCAAGGAGGAGTCATTACAAGTTGGAATAGACTCGATGGCAGGGAGTTTTTTTTTTATTGTAAGTTTAAATGTCCTACTTAACCAAGAGCTGCCATAGCTATTAATTAAAATATAGATTAGAGTATATTACTTAACAGAAATGTCTGTAATAACTAAGAACTTTAGCACTTCTCAAGGAGCCCTGGTGGCACAATGGTTAAGTGCTTGGTTGATAACCAAAGGGTTGTCAGTTCGAACCTACCCAGTGGCTTGATGGGAGAAAGACTTGGTGATCTGCTCCTGTAAAGATTGAAGCTACAAAACCCTGTAAGTCAGTTCTAGTCTGTCACATGGAGTCACTATGAGTCAAAGGCAACCAGACAGCACCTAACAACACAATATAGTACCTTTCACCTTAAAAACCATACAAATGACCTTAGTTTTTCAGTTTTTGATGTTTTATTCAATTCGTTCAACAAATATGCGATGCCACTGTGTGACTGGGATTGTGTTAAGGGCTAAGGATGCAGTGATGAAAAAGACACCCAGGGTCTTTGCCTTCATGGAGCTGACACTTCAGTGGTGGGAATTTCATTTAAATATAAGTGTGATCTGAGTAAATAAATGAAAAATAATACTAAATAAATTCTATGATCTCAAAAACAAGAGCTCCAAACAAGGTTATCATCATTGTGGGGGAGAATTTTTCAACTTTGAATGAACATAAAAATCCAGGTTAAAAACAGTCTTGTAATTGACCTTATGGTAAAGGTAGTGGGATAAAAATATTTCATGTAGTCAAGAGCGAGACCGGTGAGGGAAGATGATCAGAGTCTCAAAAACAGTTCTTGGTAGAACTGGGCCAAGTCCCAGGGCTGCTTGAGACTTCTGAGTGGTGACTCAGTGTTCTTCCCACCTCATCTTGGTCATCTCATGAAGGAAAGAGTCAAGCAGCTCTAGAAAATTCTTACCCAGGCAGGATAGAATAGTTCAATAACAAAGATGCATTTGTTCATCAGTTCCTCCTTTCTCGCAATGAAGATACAAAGATGACTATGGCTTCATCTTTGCTCCCAAGAAGTGCACAGTCTAACAAAACACCTACAGTGAGTCAGGAACCGTGCAGAGTGGAAAAAAGTTCTGTTTTGAAATTAACCTAACCTGGGTTCCAGCACTGGCTCTGTCCCTCAGGGGATACGTGGCCTGCAGCATGTTTGTTTGACCCTTGTGAGCATTATCTGAAAAATGGGGACAAAATGTAGACCTTGCAGACTGCAGATGATGTCTACTCAGTCCCTCGCCTCACTTGCGAAGGCACTCAAAACATGCTGTTTATTACCGTTATGGGTATTATTATTTCACCTAATTTATCATTCCATTTCTGAGGTGGTATCTCTATGGAAGTAGATTGCCCAACCTTCCTTTCAAGGAGTGGCTGGTGGGTTTGAATCTCCAGCCTTCTGATTAGCAGTCAAGTGCCTTAGGTACTATACTACCAAAGCTCCCATTTAAACTTTGTTGTTGTTATGGGCCATGGAGTCAGACCTGACTCATAGCGACCTCTCCTTGGGTTTCCTAGGCAGTATCACTACAGAAGTAGATTGCCCAACCTTCCTTCGAGGAGTGGCTGGTGGGTTTGAACTGTCAGCCTTCTGGTTAGCAGTCAAGTGCCTTAGGCACTACGCTACCAGAGCTCCTATTTAAACCTTACAATACCCTAATTAGATGTGTGATATTAGACCCATTTTGCAGATGAGAAAGTAAAGGAAGCCAGGATTTGAATCCTTATGTATGTTATTTTTAACTCTTGAACTATTGCCATCAGGGACGGATTACACAATAAGCAAGGGCGGCATGATGTTCACTACAGATCGGTGGGTGAGCCCTTGCTTATCTTGCTTTCTGGGTACTCATTCTGTCAGGGATTGTAAATTTGAAAAGAGGCTTTGATTCTGTAGGGAGGTGGCTGTGGGTTTGGGAGCAAGGCAGATGCCAAACATATCTAGAAGCAGATTCTTTGATGTGGTGAAAAAATGAAATTGTTCACTACAGATTAGTAAACAAGCACAAGTAAGCCTGTGCTTCCCTTGCTTATTGGCTAATCTGACACTGATTGCCAGTCCTGTATTATGCTGCCAAAACAACTTCCGTTTCTGTTACCACCTTTATAGCGGTTCTCCACACTGAGCCTCAACCTCAGAATCATCTGAAGGGCGGTTGAAACACAGATTGCTGGGCTCCACCCCTGAGTTTCTAATCAGTAGGTTCGGGTGAGGCATGTTGAACAAATTCCCAGATGAGAAAGATGTTGCTGATAAGAAGACCGTTTTTTGAGAACATTTAAGCAGAGGATTAGGCCCTTGATTTACAAATGATTTCTGTTTGTAAAGCCTACTTAACTGGAACCCTGTGTGGTCTGGGGGCAAAGCCACCCAGCCCTGCTCCCTCCCACTGCTCCTCTTACCCTTGCAGTACTCGAAGCACTTTGTGTTAAATCTTTCTTGCGTTTTCGGATCAGCCTTCGCCGTCTATGAGTGTGATACACTTTCTCTGCTGCAACCCAGGATTTGGGTTTATTATCAGGAGGAATGGTAATTCCATACTCCCAGCCTGGAACAAAGTTTGTGAAATTATCCAAAAGAGATACATTTGCAAGATCACAAAATTAACACTCATTCACTCTTTCTGTCCTAAACATTCTCTACTTCATGACTGAACGCCACAGCTCACTGCATTCTGCCAAACTGGATTTTCACCACTTCCTTGGCTCCCTCCTAAAAAAGCTTCCCTGTGGCCATGGATTCTCCTCTACTTTTATTGCATTCATCATAATTGAGTTCATTGACAAATAAAGTAAGAAGCCCTGGTAGGACTGTGGTTAAGCTCAGCTGCTAAAAGAAAGGCTGGCAGTTATAACGCACCCTGAGGCTGAACTGGAGAGAGACCTGCAATCTGGAGAGAGACAGGCAATCTATCTGTTCCAGTAAAGGTTATAGGAGCTCTGGTGGTGTAGTGGGAGCTCTGGTGGCACAGTGCCTAAAGCACGTGACTGCTAACCAGAAGGCTGGTGGTTCAAACCC